TGGCTTGGCTTGGGAAGCCGGGAGGGAGCCACCCTGCAAGCCAGGAGGGCTTCGTGGAAGAGGGGGCCCAGTCTGCCCTTGTCCCCCCTCTGCCCCCAGCCTCCGCATCCAGCGTGGCTTGGCTTGGGAAGCCGGGAGGGAGCCACCCTGCAAGCCCGGAGGGCTTCCTGGAAGAGGAGGCCCAGGCTGCCCCTGTCCCCCCCCCCAGGAGGCGGGGCTGGCTGGAGCAGGGCCCCGGGGGGACCTAGGGAAGTTGCAAAAAAAAAAGTTGGGGGGCTTTTCAGCTGTCCGGATTGGGGGGGTGGGGCCCGTGCTGGCATTTGGCATGCAGGAGACACAGTGACAAGAGTGTGGGTCCCTCTCGTTCACCGCAAACCGCCCTTCCCGGGATGTCACAGCGCCGGCGAGCGGCGGGGGGGACCGTGGAGGCCAAGAGCTCCCGGGGAGGGGACAGGGTGAGGGCTCTTCCTGGGGGAGGCGGATGGGTCCCCTGAAAGTTCTGGTGGCTTCTGCAGGTGAACAGGCCGCTGACCATGAAGAAGGACGGAATCCAGACGAGGAACCGGAAAATGTCCAAATCCAAGAAGAGCAAGAAGGGGACAGAGTGTCTGGAGGATCTGACCAAGTGCATGCAGGACAAGCCGTCCCCCTTCAGCGCGGCCGCGCTGGCCGGACACATGGCCCCCGTGGGTCACCTCCCGCCCTTCAGCCACTCGGGACACCTCCTGCCCACCCCGACGCCCCTCCACCCTTCCCCCAGCCTCCCGTTCGGCCACCCGCACCCGTCCAGCATGGTGACCGCCATGGGCTAAAGGACAGCGTCCTGCTGGACAGACGGACGGACGGACGGACGGACGCTGGTGGCGCGAGGGCAGGTCCTCAGCAGCCCACCCTCTTCCCGAGGCCTCGCGATGCCACTCCCCTGTCCTCGGAGGCGGGCTGAGGGGATGTCGCTGTGACCATCTCCAGCTGGTGGCTCTGCGCCGGCCGCCGGCCAGGTGAGGCGTCCTCCGCGGACAGTTTGCAAAGCAAAAAGGGACAGCTTTATGCAGAGAACATTAGGGGTGCGGGGGACAGACAGAGGGAGGCGACCGTTCGGAGGGGGCAACAAGCGGCAGGCGAAGATGATTCACTTCGCTCTCGTTCCTAGCGAGGACCTAGCGAGCTGTCGCCAGCTGTCCTGGTTCTTCTTTGGGGGCCCCCGTTGGCCGGCGTGCGTGCCAGGGATCTGGGGAGGCGGGGGGGGG